ACTGATGGCCACGGAGGGCTTGGGTGGGGGGGGGGTCACTCCGTTCATGTTCGCGGGGGCGGGTCTGTGACTCTTTTGCCAGTTTTGAGCCCCCTACCCTGACACACAGTATTCTTGAGGATTACTGGAGGAGGAATCAACTTGACATGTTTTATAACTTGCTGTGTGGACCTTTTTCGGGGATATCGCAAGCAGACAAAGCCCCCTTCCTGTGTGCACTTTATTGGGTGGGGGGGGGGGTTTACATTTAGTTGTTTCAACTATCCATCTACTGTTGCCTAGAGACAAAAGAGGGGTCACATTAAGGACTGGTGATATTCCGCCAGGGTCTGTGTTCGCCTTGTGGCCGGTACCTCAATCCCCCCCCCCCCTTGCTGTCACGTCTCCCCCAACCCCCCCCCCCGCGCTGTGCAGCAAAGGGAGGCGTCCCCAGCAGGAAGGACGTGGCACAAGTCCTACAGCCACTGCCCATGGTTTTTTTTAAGCAGAAAGACGCCGCAATGGCTGAAGTCGTACCAAGGCCGTGTTTTTGTCTGTCACAGATGACAATCAAGCTGTAAAAACAAACTTCCTTCAGCAGCGACGCTGACTTTCATTTATTTGTTTTTCTTGGGATACCATTTCCGAGATAACTGCACCGGTTTGGTGTTTGCATTCTTCTGCCTCGGACCCACATGCGTTCAGATCTCGGATCTCATCTGAAAGGTGTGTTTCTCTGTCTGAAACTGCCCGTAGAGACACTTCTTGGGAAGCTGTTTCTCTGACGCTGAGTCATGCCGGGCATGAGGAAGATGAGGAAGATGGTGCGCTGGGGGTGATTTCTAAGGCAGAAAACTGACCTTCCGCATGTTTCGGGCAGGGAGGGGGTTGGCCTTGGTGTCAAAGAGACTGACGCTAAGAGCAGGGGGCTTTGAAAATATAATAACAAACAGTACTTATGTAATGGGCAATTGGCTGGGTAGGGGGGCTTGCTTTAAATGACTGCAGAGCAGAGTAATTGGGCCCAGGTTTTTCTCTTCTCCTCCCTTCCACTCCCTCACCTTCACAAACCTGCATGAACTGTGAGGACAGCAGCCCCCCCCCCCCCCCCCCAACTCCCTAGGAAGCAGCCGCGCCTGAGGACGCTCAGGCAGGTGTGGAGGCAGCATGTGCCCATCGTCCATGACGACCATTCAGGTCCTTGCTGATGTGTAGAGGCTACATTCAGTTTAGTGGCTCTGCTAGTTAAATGAGAACAAGGGGGCATTCCATGAGTCTGGGTGGGGGGCACGAGGGGTGTCATCTCGGAGGAAAATGAGAACGTGTTGAAAACGCCATGAACATGTTCAGAAAACATCGTGCCACAGAACTGAAACAAATATCACAGCTAATTGAATAGCCTCTACTGAATTCTTGAAATTCCTTGATTTTTTTCAGCTTCGGGAAAAAAATGAAAGCTTTAGTTTGGACAGGACAATGGAATGTGTCGTTCAGGAAGGAACTTAGGGGGAACTGAGGAATTCAGGAGGTAAACTGGTGATGTAAGGTAAATAATGGTTGCATTGAGGATGGAGAAGGGATGTGCTGAGGAGGCTGTGCTGTTTGGTCCTGAGAAGGCTGTGCTGTTTGGTCCTGAGGAGGCTGTGCTGCAGGGTCCTCAGGAGGCTGTGCTGTTTGGTCCTGAGAAGGCTGTGCTGTTTGGTCCTGAGGAGGCTGTGCTGCAGATCCCTGAGGGGGCTGTGCTGTTTGGTCCTGAGAAGGCTGTGCTGCAGAACCCTGAGAAGGCTGTGCTGTAGAGCCCTGAGGAGGCTGTGCTGCAGGGTCCTCAGGAGGCTGTGCTGTTTGGTCCTGAGAAGGCTGTGCTGCAGGGCCCTGAGGTGGCTGTGCTGCAGGGTCCTCAGGAGGCTGTGCTGTCCTGGAAGTTATTTAAACAGAGGTGGGGTGTGGGGACAGCAAAGCTTACTGAGATTCTGTATAACGAGGTGACGGGCACAGTGTGGTCTGCATGGATGGACGGACATGGCTTCGGCCGTGCAGGAAGTGTGACGTCTGTGTGGCGGCTTAATTCTTGCTCCCGCCAAACATTAACCAGATTAATAACCTTTTCTCTGCAAGCTGCTCATTGGACCCATTAGAAAATAATGGCCTTTCCCAACTTTTCTACACAACGATCCCCCAAATAGGAGGGACTGAGGCGCTCCCTCTCAGCACTTCTGGAGGGTGTATGCCACAGTTCTTCACCCCTTGTGTTCCTGTGGGCTGGATTTGGGTGCCTGGTAGCCCTGTGCGGACTGGGGCATCACGGCATGGGACATGCCGACACCCCAGTACCCCCAATTTCCAGCGCTGTCCCTGGTCAGGACACCTCCCTGCCTCTCAGTCTCCAGTGAGATTAGCAGCTGGCCAGTGCAAGTTTTCACTCCATAGGGTAATAAAAAATATTGTAATAGACAACAGACCTTTTAAGTGTCATTTTATAACTGGCATAGGAAGATGGGGACATGGTAATGTTGCTGAAGCCACAGGGGCAGAGGGTGAGCTGAGGGTGAGAGGAGGGTGAGAGGAAGGTGAGCAGAGTGTGAACGGAGGGTGAGAGGAAGGTAAGCAGAGTGTGAGCGGAGGGTGAGAGGACGGTGAGCAAAGTGTGAGTGGAGGGTGAGCAGAGTGTGAGCAGAGGGTGAGAGGAGAGTGAGAGGAAGGCGAGCAGAGTATGAGCAGTGGCTGAGTGGAGGGTGAGAGGAAGGTGAGCAGTGGGTGAGAGGAAGGTGAGCTAAGTGTGAGCAGAGGCTGGGCAGAGGGTGAGCAGAGGGTGAAATAGCACAGGGTTGTGTCTGGCAGCACTGGCCCTTTAAGGCGCGGGCTCGCTGGAACCTGCGTGAGCTGCTCTTGTTTTATTATAGACAATCGAGGGCTGTAATTATGTCAGAGCCAAATTCTTTCAGAGGCTGCGAGTAAAGCGCGTTCCCTTTCAGTTGCGGGGCTGTAAAAGCAGCCTGAGGAGCGCAGGAGCTGCAAGGGAGGAATTTGCTAATGGCGCAGTGGAGTTTCAGGGGCGGTGGCCGAGGGGGAGGCCGCACAGGTTTTATGTGAGGAGGGAGGTTTGCTTCAAACTACGAGGGGGCCTGCATATGGACACCCTTATTGACCGTCCACTTACAGCTGCGGCCGACCCGGCCCACTGCACAGGGTGTGCGTGTCCGTGCGCGTGTGCATGTGTGTGTGCAGTAGAGACGGAATTTCTCACAGCAAACCATGAGAAACACAAAATTTGAGCTTGGGAGGTGTGCAGAACTGGGAACAAAATGAGCTGAAAAAGCGTTTATTTCTGTTTGTAACCTTTATTTCCCTTGAAATGTGCATTAAAAGTTTTATTACTCATAGAAAAGACAGGTGCAAATTTTGTGTTCCCGCAAAAGCTCTATAAATCCAGTGCGGGAGTCAGCTAAGAAAAGGAAGAGGACAGTTCAGTGTGTGTGTGTGTGTGTGTGTGTGTGTGTGTGTGTGTGTGTGTGCGTGCTGCGTGTGAGCGTGTGTGTGTGTGTGTGTGCGCGCGTGTGTGCGTGTGTGTGTGTGCGTGCTGCGTGTGTCTCTGCGTGGCCCCACCGTAACAGGGGCTTGTTAATGGGGGGGCAGTCATTAAGCTTAGAGAGGGCTGAGAATGAAAGGAATGGGGCCACAGGCCTGGTTTTAAATCCTCTGTGTCAATAGACTCTCTGAAGCAAAATAATGGCATCAGTCTGTGTGCCAGTTAATCGAAGCTGATAGCATGATGGCTGGGGGGTCAGCAGGTCGCAGGCTTACGCTAAGTTGTCAGGGAGCTGAATGCCGTCCCTGAGCCTGGCTGGGGGGGGGCAGGTGGGGGAAGGGAGGACCCCCTGCCTGGGCCACTCACCCACCAGACCCCCACCTCGTGAGGAATGCGGGGAGGGGGGTGGTATGTTGAGCCGTGTTGACTTTTTATGGTAGAATTCTCCCCCCGGTTGAGCCTTTCGCCGAAGGTGAATTATACTGGAAAGAAAGGCTTTGTGCAAAGTGTAGAGGAAATGTAGCGTGCTTCCCTGACGGAGAGGGTCCGCACACTAAGCGCATACTCACGGCAGCATACTCACGGCAGCATACTCACGGCAGCATAATCACGGCAGCATACTCACGGCAATATACTCACGGCAGCATACTCACGGCAGCATACTCACGGCAGCATAATCACGGCAGCATAATCACGGCAGCACTGCACGGTAAACCTGTGGGAGTCACTTTGTGGAATAACTGCTCTCTGCTCAGTGTGACGCTGAAAATGCTGTAGTCACAGGACAGAAGGTGGGAATCCCTTCCGGTCAGCCATTCTGGGTTAGTTACATTGTCCCCACCCCCGGCTAGTCCTACTGTCGGTGCGTTCTCTCTCATTTTCACATTAATTTTCTGTCAGACTGAAATCTGGAGTACAGCCTGCAAACGGTGGGTGATCCCCAGCTAGTGCTCGCGTTAGTGTGCGTTGGTGTCTCTCTCTCCGTGTTGCTCTTTTATCTCCGCCAGATGCATTGTCCCAGTGAGCTGAGCCCGTTAATTAAAGCATAAGAGACTCTCCAGGACATTGGAGTTTGTACTAGCCTAGTTGGGTGCAGTTATCCTCAGTGGGGATGCAGTGAATCGTGTACCTCCATCTTACGTTCTGCTTTAAATAGGTTCTTCATTCCGGGGTGATAGCTAGAGAAGGTGGCCCTCAGGAGCGAGCAAAGGAGGGACCGCTCCGTTTCCCGTGGGGGTGGGGGGCGTAGAGACAAAGCTTTCCAGTGAGGTCCAGTCTCTAATACCTCCTCACCTGAGTGCTTACTCCAGTGGCCAGTGTGGTGCTGTGTTTGTGTGCCACTTTAATTTCAAAACAGTGTCTCCTTCCATATCATCTCGGACAATAAAAGGAGGCTTTTAGATGGACCTGTGTGCGGACTTGGGGGTGATAACCTGAGTTTTTACCTGTGTTTTTGTTTTGTGTGACACGCCTCCCCTCCCTCCCTCCCTCTCAGACGCCAGCATGTCTCCAGAAGCCCCGAAGCAGAGCCACTGGTGCAGTGTGGCGTACTGGGAGCACCGGACGCGGGTGGGTCGCCTCTACGCAGTGTACAAGCACTCCGTCAGCATCTTCTACGATCTACCTCAGGGTACGGGCTTCTGCCTGGGTCAGCTGAACCTGGAGCAGTGCAGCAGCAGCGTCCGCCGCACGCGCGGCAAGATCGGCTACGGCATCCTGCTGAGCAAGGAGGCGGACGGCGTGTGGGCCTACAACCGCAGCGAGCACCCCATCTTCGTCAACTCGCCCACGCTGGACGCGCCCGGCTGCCGCAGCCTCGTCGTTCGCAAGGTGATGCCCGGCTTCTCCATCAAGGTCTTCGACTACGACAGGTCGTGCCTCCTGCAGGGGGCGGTGGAGCCGGGCTGCCTGGACGGGCCGTTCGACCCCCACAGCGTGCGCATCAGCTTCGCTAAGGGCTGGGGGGCCTGCTACTCGCGGCAGTTCATCACCTCCTGCCCCTGCTGGCTGGAGATCCTGCTCAACAACCACAGATAACAGCCACAGCCGGCTCACCGCAAACTATCCCAAATATCACCTACCTAGATTTAATATAAAGTTTTATATATTATATGAAAAATATATTATACTTGTAAATAACGGAGTCATTTTTACAATGTAATTATTTATGTATGGTGCAATGTGTATATGGAACAGAGGAAAACGGAAACCAGAAAATGCACTTTGGATTTTATATAGATATATATGTATGTATATACATATATGTATGCGTGTGTGTGAGTGTGTGTATGTATGTATATATGTGTGTGTGTGCGTGTGTGTATGAATGCATTTACACACACATACAGAATCTTTCAATACCAATTTGAAAAGTTATGCAGCAACAATTAAATGACCCAGATTTTTGGTGTACGGTTTTCATATATCAATACCCAGACAAAAAGCTAACGCCATTCACACATTGATAATAAAGTATTCGCATTATGTTTCCTTCTGTCTCTGGCTTTCATTAATAACCCCCCCCCCTCCACTGATTCAAACCTGTTAGCACAACAAGAACCAGCCCTCATAGCTAAATGAGAATGTGGGTCCCATTCCTCGGCACGGGGTGTCCTTCTTCCAAAACACATCACAGAAGTACATTCCAAAGAAGGATGGAGAACCAGTCTGGGGAAACTCAGGATGGGGTGTTAGTCCAACCAAGGGCAGTTTGCTGTACTCATCTCACTTAAATTACATATTTAAAAGGCTGATTGTTCAGACAGAACACAAGGCAGAAAGGCTTGGGGGGCCGTGGGGGGGGGGGAGAATGCTGAAGGATGTTGATGCAAGTGCCTCCTCTACATGGGGAGCGACATGACACACTGAGGGTGTGGGTGCTTAACCCGACATCCTGCACCCCCCCCCCCCCTCTCAGGCCCCGTCTTAACCAGCCCTCGCATTTCTCCATGAAGAAAATGGGCACGGAGAGTTCCAGTGTCTCTGTCCGAAAGAGATACTGGCGACGATGCCGTTAAAGTCCAGTGTGGTGTGCCATGATGTAGGTGTGAGGCCCGCGGCCGCAGGAGTCGACCCGATAAACTCCGCTGCATGTCATGCCTCGGGTCCAGCGAAACATTACATTGGTGTTCCAACTGACACATCATAGACAAAAAAAAATCACCAGTTTTTCCAGTTACAGTTAAATATAGCAGCACCACCTCACCAGTGACATCATGGTGTTACTGTAAAAATAAACTCTTCATATTTTTAATTATTGCATTATATTGTATTACATTATTTCACTTGTTCCTATAGGGTAATAATACACTACACGGCATGCTGGTTTCCCCTTCGAATGTAATAGCAGGTTTATCTGGCAGGATGTTTAACCTTTATTCATTCATTATTTTTTGACCTAGCCTGCCTGGGCTCGTTACATTTTAATTTCGGCAGGAATTAAGTCTTCAGTGTTGGTGTTATATGCAATTGTTACAGATTGACTAAATACTTTATAGCTGCTCGTAGCATGAGGAAGAACAGCTTTTTGTCCCTGGTTGTTACTTATGGTATGGGTTATTCAAACTTAGTCTTTCCAGAGGTTTGCTAACAGAAGCCTGCTAACAGACACATCTGCTAACACAGGTATGCTAACATCGAGGCTTGCTGACAGAGAGGTCCGCTAACATAGAAGCCTGCTAACATAGATGTTCATTAACACAGAGGCCTGCTTAATGAGAGGTCCGCTAACATAGAAGCCTGCTAACATAGATGCTCGCAAACACAGAGGCCTGCTTACTGAGAGGTCCGCTAACATAGAAACCTACTAACATAGATCTTCATTAACACAGAGGCCTGCTTACCGAGAGATCCGCTAACATAGAAGCCTGCTAACATAGATGCTCGCTAACACAGAGGCCTGCTTACTGAGAGGTCTGCTAACATAGAAACCTGCTAACATAGATCTTCATTAACACAGAGGCCTGCTTACCGAGAGATCCGCTAACATAGAAGCCTGCTAACATAGATGTTCACTAACACAGAGGCCTGCTTAATGAGAGGTCCACTAACATAGATGCCAGCTAACATAGATGTTCACTAACACAGAGGCCTGCTTACTGAGAGGTCTGCTAACATAGTTGTTCACTAACACAGAGGCCTGCTTACTGAGAGATCCGCTAACATAGAAGCCTGCTAACATAGCTGTTCACTAACACACAGGCCTGCTTAATGAGAGGTCCACTAACATAGATGCCAGCTAACATAGATGTTCACTAACACAGAGGCCTGCTTACTGAGAGGTCTGCTAACATAGATGTTCACTAACACAGAGGCCTGCTTACTGAGAGGTCCGCTAACACAGAAGCCT